AGGACATAATCTTGCATTTTAATACATCTGCCACAGTTCTTTTGCAGAATCTGCTGTGGAGGCTTCACCCTCCAACATTTATATTAGTCAACAAAGAACTAGGCTGTGTGAAAAGCAAACATATATATTTATATATATTCTTCTCTTCATCTTCACAGTAAGGTACTTGAAATATTTCAGAATCAGAGAATTGCAGGGGGAACATGGCTTTGGATCATTACAATGAGAACAAAAGTATATTGACATTAGCGTAACCCCTCCCCCCTCCCCCCAGCAAACTCGTAGTAGTGTTTTTCCATTAACTCCTAACTACATACATCTTCCATGACTCCCTTTATCCATTTCTTAAAAAATAATTTAAAGCTTTCACCAAGAGCAATAAAGGTGTTTGCTGTGCAGTATCAGCTTATTTAAGTGATATTTATTTTAGACATTACAAAATATACTGTACACAATGTAAAAAAAAAACATGTCACTGTATCTTCTGTTTTTTGTGTCATTTCCACAGTTTGCACAGCGTCTGTCTGAAACACGGCCAGGAAAGATGAAGAGGCGGGTGCTGTGGAAGGTCATGGAGTGAAACCAACACTTTGGGAGACCTCATATATACCTCATATATTCAGACTTTCTGTATATATATTCAGACTTTCTGTATACATATTCAGACTTTTGTTATATATTTTCATACTTTCTGTATATATATTCAAGGAATATTAATTTACAGAACAGCAAGCCATAATATATAAATAAAACCTCATCAACATCCTGAGAGGGAGTGACCCTGACCACAGATTCAATGACAAAAGCAGATTGCAATTCACCAAAAGTGAAAGCAACTGGTCAGAATAAATATGCAGGAATTCTTCTTATTATTTTAATAAAAGCCTGCTCCCTCCCTAAATACAGAAAAATAATTCTGATAATACTGTGATATCCCCGGAGCATGCGGCTGCCTCTCTTTTGTGAAGACTTGTTAGCCACTGGGAGAGATTAACATTTTTCAGCAGTGGTTTTGGTCGGTTGTCTGCATGGCATCAGTCCTGACAACTTTTCTCATCCATTAGTGTATTATGAAAACAAGACACATTGGAGAGACAAAGATGCATGCGCTGGTGAGATAAGCGAACGCACAGGAGCTTAGAAACACCTAACCTTCACAGTTGCAATAAACAATAACATGTGACTTAAGAGGATTTACATAAGATGAGAGGAGTAATCAGAAGGAGTAGGGGAAAAAACAGTGAGGCAGCAGTCACATCTCTCCTCAAAACTCTGTTTCTCAACCAGGGAAGTTGCCTTGCTGCTGCTGTTTCGAGGAAGGTTGTTGCTACCATCTATTTATTCCACTATTGGTGTAACATAGCAGCACTGTTGTAAGCCTTTTTTAGCGAGCTCCTGCAGGAGCTCCTTGTGTAGAATATTCATTATTTAAAAAGTAAATATATCCCCTGAAGTCACCACAAACAACAAATATATGAAAACAAACATTTGAATTGTATTTATGTAAATGCTTTTTGTGACACAAGTCTAATCTATTACCTGTAGTTTTGCTTGACTGTATTTTCAGCTCCCTGTCAGTAGACAACATCTGAGGTTCGGCACTTGGTCACTTATGTAATGTTGACCAACTTCCTGACAGAGGCTGTGGAGGAAGAAAAGCCAAAATCAATAACCATCTATTTTTTGACCAAACTAAAGGACATCACCAGGTCCAGGACAGACATAGGGAAAAAACATAATAAAGAAGATAAGTATATATAAAAATATTATGATGTAAACAATATGTGACTGCACTTCTACCTTCAGCCCAGGGCTGTTTGCTCTCTCTGCTGCTGCAGTGGAACAGTTAGTTGAATGGTTATGTAACATGGCAAACTTTGGACATTAGTTACACGGTATAAGTCACATGTCACTTGTAATGACATTTGTTAACAGTTGGCTCCAGTAGATGCAACAACAAACTGATGTTCAAAATAAAAAACAAATAATAATAATAAAAAAAATTACCTTCCAGTTTATCAGTAGTAGCAGATGCAATACATTTTTATACGGGGACACTTTGTGCTAACATTTATTTTTACACACACATACATATAAATTTACATATATATAATCTACAATTTATAGATTCTGTATTCCTCAGTTACTGCAGTTTTAAAAGAAGACGTCTGTATGTGCAGGTTTCAAAAGTACACGGTTGTTTTGTGTGAACAGACATTACCAGTAATATTCTGCTCCACGTTCTGATTCTGAATATTCATGTTCACAAACTGGCTCAGTTTTGCATTACCCATAGCTGTGCCCAGATGGCACTGTTTTCCTTGAACAGTGACCAAATGCAAATGTGACTTGGAGTTGTGACTGCTGAAATGGATTATTGGGGAAACAAACAAAAAAAACCTCACACATTTGTGTGATATGGATAATGCATAATAATGAGGCAGAGAGAATTACTTCAAAAAAAATATCACTTTTGTTTATATATGAAAAAACAGTAACAGTAAGTTCTACTTCTTATTGTGTTCTTTTAAAAGCATCTGATGTTGTAAATAGTTTAAAATTGACAGTAATAAAAAAGGATTCTTGACATCAGGATGGAAGGAATTCTGCAGAATTCGTGGCTCATATTGTTGCAGCTCAAGCATCAGCTGTTGAGCAGACTCTAAAAAAATGTTAAGCTTCCAACAATGGGAGGCAGAAAATGTGAAGGGAAACAATTAAATTACGCCTTGCATGAAGTTTGCTTTTCATTTTGTGAGGCAAATTTACCGCCACGGTTAATCATTATGCTGTTGAACACGATTTGCAAAAATATTCAAGAGCTTTATGTGCCTCAGTGCCCCTTCTGTATTGAAAAATAATGGGCCTCTATCCAATTAAAAACTGCATTAAATCTCCAAAGTATTACATGTACTTTACTGGTATCTCTCTGATTAGGCTTTTCTGCATGTGCAGATGCCGACAGCACAGCCTCAACTGAGTGACCCCACCCGCCTCCCCACACACACTTTAAATCTAGAGCAGATATACTGCACAAGGTGGAAAAGTAGAAATCTGAATTTCTAACCTGTGTGATGATGTCACAACAACAGTAACATTTATAGTTTTGTTTTATTTTACCGTTGCATTTTGTTTCAGGTTATTTTGCCTGAAAATTAGGGACGAGATGCCAAATCTGTGAGACGTATAGGAGAAATGGGTAGAAACATTTCTCCTATTCATAACGGCCCTTATGTTTTGATGGTAGCGTTGATAGGCAGTGATTCATTGTTCTGCAGCAGAGGCAGCAGTCCAGCCTGTGAATGGATGATTTATGTGACCATCTGTTTGATTTTCATCCTAATTTGATTATCTCTTTTTGTGCGATGACTTTGGACATTAAAAACCATCTCGCACACAGAGAGACGAAACACTTACACAAACACACACACACACACACAAACAAAACATAAAAACATTGTTTAAAATATGCACTTACTTTAAATTTTTTGTAATGACATTTAAAATCTTATTCTCATTCGAATAATAACAACCAGATAATGCCTTACTCCACCATAACACTTTTATTTTTGTATATTATTTTTAACAGTGCAATTTATTAGTATTTTCACTAGCAGAAGTGTTTGTTTAAAATAAACAATATAATATAATATAATAAAAGGATTTATATATATTTAGATTTATATATATATATATATCATAAATGGGGAAAAATGTCCTCCGTTAGAAGGTAAACTGTTCACAGCTTTAGGGCTGAATGTTTGATGAATTAACTGTTCATTCTTTGAATGCATTTCTTTTAAAACGAATTTCTTCATAGTTTAATGGTGGCTTGTGTTTCTTTAAAATGTTAAACTTTGGGATATCGTGTTGTATAGGCGTGTGGTAGCTACGAAAACAGCTCTACAAGTAGAAATGTAAAGATATTCTTTAGAAGACTTGGTCTAAGGGAAAAGAAGAAGACGTAGAGAAAAAGAAATGTGACTACAAACTGTTAAACAGTTTATATTAGGATGCACAGAAATGTTGAATACGTTATTTAAATGATTAAAATGTGTATTTAAAAAGTGGAGCATAGACATCACACAAACAAACACAAACAAACACACGGACACGGACAAACAATGATTGAGCTTCTCCTCACTCCCTCCTCAAACCCATTCGTTCAAAACTACTGACCAAAATATGATTATGGGTAACAAGCAACAGCAACAGCAGCATCCGTTGTACAACCAACTCACAGCCACTATCTGTTTGTGTTAATTAAAAGATTTGCAACTACATGTGTCTGCAGATAATCAAAATGTCTTCGGCAGCAGCACTCCCAGATGCATCGCCACTCCAGAGCTCATTTGCCTGTCTGCGATCTCATGTTTGTTTGGAATTAATCAATCTAGTCACAATCGAGTTAATTAATTAGTGTTTTAATGCTACTCTTTATAATTGCAGTCAGATGAGTCTGCAGACAAAGCAATCACATTAATGCAAATACAACAGATAATTGTTATCCAAACTTACGCAGCGGTAGCAGTGGTAGCTTTAGCTTCCGTGGGGCTACCCTGAAGAAACACTAGATGGCACCATTGAGCAGGGATTACGCTCACTGTCCTCCTGTCATTTCCTGGATATTGTTCAATTAACTGTCCTCATTGAGTGCACGCGCGCGTGCATGTATCTGTATACATTGAAGAACAGATGACACATAGGTCCCTGTGACAGTCTCACTCACTGATGGCGTCTACATATGTGAAATAAAAGGTCAGTGATTCTAACAAGTGCAGCATTTAGACTCTACAATCTGTTTAAATAGAGATACTTACATGTGTGGAGAGGAAATCAAATGTACCGTTGCCAGTGCTACTCCTAATTTCAACTTGAATGTTTGATTTGGAATCAAATGTTCAAAACGACGTCATATTTGGAGCATCCTGTGGCCCAGCGGTTGAAGAATCTTCCTGTAATTGGACGTTTGGGGTTCTAACCTCTCAACACTGACAAATACTGCCCACTGCTTGTGTGTGTGATGCTAACGATTGGGGAGTTACACAGACAGGTTAATGTGGAGAGAAGATGGGGAGATTTTTATTTATATTTCACGTAAATGTTTCATTTTTTATTTTAAATAGTGTACGCCGCCTTAGTTAAAAACTCTGTGACCCCTAAAAAAGTCAAAATCTTCTCTTTTTGAAGTAACAATTTTGAATAGAAAAGTTTGCAGCTCTGCTTTGTTTGCCTCGTTACTTCTTCAAAAACCTTCCATCATTCAAATGATATTCACATCTTCTTCATCACTGTTGTCATCACCGTCATTAACCGCAGCTCATTTTCAATCTCATGGCTTTGTAGATTTTTTTCCCTTCTTCATTTCTTCCCTGTTTACTCAGTTTCTGGTGTTTTCCAGGAATATGCTGGTGTCACTCAGCAGTCTCTCAGCGAGAGCCATTATTCCCTCATCTCTTTAGTTTATCTCCTCTGATGATCTGCTCAGATAGATGTGACAGCTGAATAAATATGCAAACGTTGTGCACAGCGCCACACTTCTCACCACAGAGTTTCTATTATGTTCTCCGATTTAGAGACGAACAGTATATTGAGATAACAATAGGACTCTTTGGGGATTTGGCTGAATAGGAGAGAGGGAGGAGGAGGGGATGGTGGTGGAGGGGGGTGTTTCTTCATCATCATCTTCTTATATCGGCTGCAAAGATCCAGGCATTTACTCATTGGCTCGGACTAATTAAAAATGTCTCGTCAAAAATGTGCTGTTGATACTGTTTGAGGTGATCTTTGAGAACGTGGGGACAATGGCAGGGTCCATGAATCACACTTTCATCAATTAACACTGTCAGCAGTAACGCGTCTTTACGTCTCTTTCACCAGCTGCTGTGTCCTTCATAGGCAGCTTGAATTGATACGAAGATGAATCCTCGAAGTAACAAATGTTTGCACTGCCGTGACCTAATTACCTTCAGTGTGACATTTAAAAAGAAAAGAAAACCCAAACCAAATAAAAAAATCTTTTCATTCCCTCTAAACTATTCTTTCTGTTAAAATATAAATATCACAAATATGGTTTGCAAGTTTAAGTTATTTTTTTTAACAGAATTGTTCTTCTCACAAATGAAAAGTAGGCCAGAACATGAAGATTTACCAAAAATATTACCACTCTGGAAAATCTTCAGAATCACATACATGCATTAATTATTGCACCGTTGGACCTATGGGCATATGTTTCCTTTTTATAGCATATTCTGTTGAGTATCTCAGCTTTAATACTCTGGGCTTTTGCCGGGCCCCCAGCTCCCAGCATGCTTTGAAACATGTAAGTCTCTTTTCAATCAGTTTTTTAAGCATGGCATCGATACTGGCTACATTTGTGGCAGAGGAGGCGCTTTGGCAGCTGCCTTTGAAAAGAATTGCCATGGGAGGGGTCGGCTTGACCCAGCTTCAATGCAAAACTGGGTGGAAAAAAATGCTACTATATTTAACCAAATCTGAAGCTTACTTTACAAAAAAAAAAAAAAAAAAAAAAAGTGGTAATGATATCCTCTTAACACTCCTTGCTGGAGAATTAGAGCCCTCATGGATGCTGGGGCCAAGATTCATGATGAGACAGAAGATGCAGTTATTACAACGCAATCATTATGTTGTGACTGTTTTCTGGCCCTGTTCACCTTCCACGGTCAAGAGAGCAACGCTACAAAATTAGCAATTAATGGGGCAGCGCCGACTGTTGCCGCAGAAAAGGCTGCATTACCCTCGGATCCCTAAATAAGCCCTTGTAAATGTGATTATTTTCTTGTTGGGTCGTCCATTTTAAAGGGGATTTGCCTCTGCACTCCAGATATGTTAATAGAGGTATGCTGTATATATTAGCATTTACACATTAGTTTGACTAGATGTCTAATAGTTTACCAGAGCAGCTGTAACGCTGCTCTCCTCCAGAGGATTTGTAACTTCTCCCTGCATTAGAGTCCACACGCAGCTGCTCCTGACCTATAATTTACCACAACACACACACACACACACACACACACACACGTTCCCTGACAGGTTTCTTTTTGTTTTTACTAAATCTTAATTAACACACGATTTAGAATAATTCTCAAAGTGTCTTTTTTCCTCTCTCTCCTCAGTGGAGGATGGTCTGTTATTTTAATTAAGCAGAGGTCGGATTTATTAACTCAGCAGGAGTGTTTTGAGCGAAGCTGTGGAAATCAGCAACAACGCCTCACGTCGTGCCACTTAACACACACTCACAGATCTCCGCCTGCCTTCATGGCAAAACTGTGAAAGACGAGAAGGGACGAAGTCAGGAGGGGAGTCAGAGGGGGAGGCTAGATGTGCTCACTGATTACTTTTGATGTTGTCTTTTTTACCTCTGCTGCTTCTCCTGGTCCTTCCTAATGTTGAGGATGATAATTCAATTCCAACCAGCAGTGATGAAGGAGGAGACGGTGAGGGGCATGAGAAGAAAAAGGGGGGAGGCTGTGGGAGAGAGGAGAAATATGAGTTGTGAGAAGGAATTATGAAAAATTAAAGATGAAAAAAAAGTACAGGAAAGATGTGACGGTGTGAGACAGTATTGTACACAAGAAGATTTTACAGATCAGACTTAGTTTTATGTCAGCTACAATATAAAGATCTCATATTCTGTGGTAAATACAAATCGTTTTTTTCTACTTCCTTCTTGGTCAGATCTAAAGGACACTGTTTTTATTTTGGTCATGGTTGAAAAAAGAAATCCTTCAAACTGTTTTTTTTTTCTGGCCTTAAGCTGCATAGGGATCAAACCTGTAGATTTGGTGGGTTAAATTGTGGATTAAAATCATTAATAATGTAACACAAAGAGTAAAACACACATTTTTCAGACTGGGGTTTTATTTGCTAAGAATGTCTGCAGGGGGAGATTGCAAAGTGTTGTACATTCTGTCTATGGCCAAAAGGCAATTGCTGCCAGAAAGCTTTTGACTCCTCCTGATTATGCCATGCCGTTCAAAAAAGAAAAAAAAAAGAAAAGAAAATTACACAGATTCCCCATCACATGCTGGGCATACCTGGCCTTCAGAGGAACCTCAGAAGAAACACAGACATTCATGAACAGTAAAAGAAATAAGGAGTTGCTGCTCAACACTGCAAAAATATCCTCCACAACAGGTCGTCCAGCGTTTTCAGAATTAAGAATAAGAAGATTGTTAAAAAATGTACTTGGATTTTTTTAATTCATCTTTAACGTTTTAATCTCTAAATCAAGTTCAAAATAATATCACAGATCGAATGAGATGCAGTGTGACGATCCTCTGCTGACCAATATATTAGATAGATATAGAGATATATAGAGATTAAATAGATTTGTTTAGTCTATGTGACTTTTTGGAATTATTCTATCAAAACAGTGTAATTTTTCTTTAAATGAACTTTTTTGTAATTTATTTTGTTGTAGTTTTACTAAACCCACAGCTCACTTGATACTACTACAGCTATATTTAGAGCTGAACCTGATTGGCCAATGCTACATGCTTCGTGGTGTTGACTAAGGGAACAGTGTGATTTAATAGATTTAATAAACTTGTATTATGTTATATTTGAGTTTCAGTGGCAGAATAGGAAATTCTTTACTTTTAATTTCTACAATGCACTTACCTATAAAAAAGAACATCTGTTGATGAAGCAGTTGCTCACACTGATGTACTGTGGATGTTCAAATAAGCTGTGGGGAAAAATGGAAGATTCAGAAGTGAAACAATCTAAAAAGTGGTGACATCATTTATACCAACTGTCCAACGATTCATTTACTCACTGCACAATGTTTTCTCATCTTGTATCAATTCTAAAGAAAAAAACACACAAAAGACACGATGAAGAAACATACAAATACAGTATTGAGAGACTGTCAATGTACATGCATTGGATGTGAGTTATTTCATCATGACACCAAATATTTGTATACTTAACTATACCATGTAGTTTGACATAGCTGGTAGTTAGCGTTAACAGGCTCAATGAGGCAGGACTGCAACTCTCTCTTTATATCTATTTAATTTTTTAACAATCAGAAGTACATTTAAATGAGATAAAAAAATAAATAAACTCAGTATGACCACCATGATGATATGTTCTTCTCAGGCCACAGATGCCTCCCCGGGATAGTTCTCATTGCTGTTAAAGTCTGAATTATAGTTCATTTAGACAGACCAAATCCTTTATCCCATATAGGAGATGTCTATCAGTTATTGTACTGCCTGTTGGACTGAGACGGACATTATTTGCACTGCCCCCCCCCCCCCCTTCCCCTCTTAAAAGTGTTCAGGTTGCAGGAGGCAGCAGTCAAGGGGCCTCAGCACTGACTGACACTCTGAATGATAGTGAAATCTAGCAGGTGGCTCGCATACCTCTGTGATCAGTACACCACAGAGCTTGTCTTCTGAGCTCGCTCTGTAATAAGCTCCTTCAAAGATCAGTATGTACCCCTCCCCGGCCCCCCCTCTGCCTCCCACCTCCATCCTGATAAGATCTGGAGTATGTAAGTTCTCTCCTTCCCTTTATTCCCAACTCTTTTCGTTTTCTTAAGAAAATGTCAGTTTAATCATATCTTAATGCTTTGATAATGGGGTTCTCTTACACGGCCAGAGAACAGTCACCGCTGTGTCTTAAACAGCCCGGGATGTGGAGGGAAGGAGAGAATGTTTCTAAATTAAATTTGCTCCTGCCCTGCCTCAGCACGGAGCACCAGCATTTGTGTGTCAGTCTGTGTGTGTGTGTTGGAAAGAGAGAGACAACAGAAACCAAGACTCTTTTTCACCCTCTTGACAGTCACACAAAATACATCATTGTTTCATAATTAATCAGTGAAAAACTGTTAATGATGAAACGTCAGTGTTCTGTGTTTCAATAATTGTTAGAGTTTAAGTGGGGACCAAACACCTGCCTGGAAATGCATGTCGTGTGCTTTATATTTTACAGCTCTTTTTTAGTACTTTACTTAATGAGGTGCGCAGAGAAGTCACTTGTCGCAGTGCACTTTGTTAGTACGGTTTGTGTCTTCTGACGTTCATTTTTAAGTGCTGTTTTGGATTTAAATTTTCTCAACGACAAATCGCCTCAAGGAAATGGAAGAGCCAGAGTGAACAAATAAATTATTTGTAAAGTGTCACTGTGTGCTAGCGAAGACGAAGAGAACGCAGTGGTCCCTGATGGAAAAGTGTGTGTGTGCGTGCAGGTGTGAAGACAGCTGCTGGGCTCCAAAGCACACACACACACATATACACACACACACGCACGCACAGGTGCTTGTCACTCATAATGACAGGCAGCTGGGACACACACACACACACACATTCCCTCACAACATAAAACTACAAATGCACAACTGTAAAGGTGTGTGTTCGTCAAACGCCATCAGGGAACTGTGCACTGAACTTATGCCGCTGTGTGTGTGCGAGGCGAAGGAAAGAAAGTTGTTTGTGTCAGGTGGAGGCTAAACTGTTTACAAATAAAAAAAAGAATTTGTTTTTTTTACATAGAGAATGTGAGAAATCCTGCAGCAGCCATTTAGACGGTGCCAGATGGAAAAGACCAGAGGGCATATTTAAACAGCCCTGTGGCTGCTCCATGTCGCTGTCAGTCTGGGACACTGCTGTCTGCAGCATTGTCTTGACCTACTTGTGACTTGTTCTTGTGCTGAATTAGAAGGATGGCTGACAAAAACAGATCTACAAAGGCAGGGAGGAGGGAAGGATGGAGGGAGAGAGGGAGAGAGAGGGACAAACAGCTAAACAACAAACAGCCATTTTTGCTGGAGTTTTTTTGTGTGAGTTCTAATCAGTGGAGCAGAAGCCAGTAGAGAGCAGGGGAGTCTGCGCACAAAAAACATTATCTGAGTCTCAAGATGGATCCTTGACTAATCCTGCTGTCTGAGCTCAACGTTCCCAAGATGCTCCGAGAGGAATACTGGAGAAGAGTAGGTGGTGAGGGGGAAAAGAGGCAGCGCAGAGTCACTGCACAGAAGCAGTTTTGCCCTTTATTCTCACTATTCAGCCGAAGCAGATTATGGATGACCGTTTCCTTGTACCCACGAAATCAGAACTCTGAGCCGCTCTAGATCCTTATTAGCATCACCCACTAACTCTGACCGAGTTTGTCACCCATCTTCTAGCAAACCGCCGTGAAGAACCCCCCCCCCCCTTACATCTTTTAATTAGTTAGTTTGCAGTAAGCGGGATTTGCTATTTGTTTGTTGAAACACAGGCTGCCACGTGATCGTGGCTCTGCTCTGAGCAGACTGCTGTCCTCTTTGATTCAGGGTAATGGTCTCCCCACCAAGCTGCACAATATGTGCTGTATGAAAAAGCCACTCATTCCAAGTCATCTGAAAGGAGCCGATGTATACAGCAGGAGAGAACGTTTGCACGACGACGCACAAACAGAGAAAAGGGAGTCATGAACCGAGAACAAAGAAGTGTGGCTGGGTGTGTTTTGTCTACACATATAAAACAACTGCTGATAGGACCATTTCACTGCCATTGTAAATGAATAAAGAAGATCACTCCAATAAACCCATGAAGACTTCTGCTGTAGCCCATGAACTGTGTGGCATCATTGACTACTGGCAATAATAATATTTAAAAAAAAGTCTTTTCATTTTTGCATGAAAAACCAGCAGTAGAGGAGAGTCCAGTGATGCAGTGTCCAGTGTTCAAGCTGCCGTCTAACAGGCTTCTGTCACTGGCACTCAGGGTTACCATTGAGATGAATCTAAAAGTGGCCACGGGGTTATTTTTAGACTTGGCTGCAGGATAAAAAGTTCCTGAGCTCCATAAGTAGGTCAGCTCAAGTAGTGTTCAGATGACTGTTATGTACAATTACTGAAAAGTAGCAGCATCCCTGGTGCAGAGCACCTTTTAATCCACACACTGCAGTGAATGAGTGAGCGCCTCCACTACTGTACCTCCTCACTCCCACGAGCATTTTTCTTCTTCTTCTTCTACAAAAGTCTTCAGTCTTCTTAAATCTGTATTTTTACCTGATTATATAGCATTAAAAATGTTTTGTATCTGATACCAAACATAAGGCCACGGCTCGAGATTCTGAACTTATCCAGGCCCATAATTTTTTAATAAACCGAGGGTTTATCCTTTACTTTCATTAGGAAATGACATAGGAACCATAACACCAGAATTAAAAGGTAGGTTGAACTTTCTGGTAGTATTTCACACCATAAAATTATTATTGTTTTATTATATATATATATATATATATATTTATATATTTATTTTAATTTTTGCATATCAAAACTGAATGTATAAAAGGTTCCAACAGAGAAATAGAAATTGACCCAAATGAGAATATAGTTTGGATTAAATGACCACTGTCCAACATGGTGTGAATGTAACATCCTTCATCTTTATCCTTTTATTTAAATTGGTACTTTTATCCATTTAGTTCAAAGATTAAGGGCAGGTTTCTCTTCGCAGACTGTAACACCTTATTATGACGAGCAGCTCCCCGTGGCACAAAGACACTGTATCACAACTGTGTGTACAATTGAATTAATTGAATAACAGGAAGTGAGCAGGTGACAGTGTCGGGAGGGAAAATGATGAGCGACTGCTGCAGTGGCGAGGCCTCTGTTCCAACTTTGACAGGTAAACAATCTAATTGATTTTGTGTGGCGTCTCGCCGGACTGTTCGATGCCACATTTCTGGTTTAAACGTGGTCCGTTCTCAGTGTTTGCAGAACAGACAAGCTCGTCATCTGTAGCACTGAAAACATGTCAAGTTAGAGCGAGTAATTTGTGCTGATGAATGACAAGTGCAGGCTCCTGTTCAGTAGTCTGAGTGCTCATTAGAAAACACGTTTTCAGATGTCACTCGGCTTCCGTGTTTTTGTTTTTTGGGCTAGAATAAACAAATATCGCTTGAATTGTGCAGTGTCACAGGAACGAGCAGAAGGAAATTAAACCTCAATTGACATGTCTCACGCAGCCGACTTTTTTGAACGTTGACAGCCATCTGTGTGGATTCCTTTCACTCCCTGCTAATGAGCTGTGGGTTGAGGGGACCCGATCTACACAGGCCTGTCCCCTGGGTCCCGTGCAGCTGCCGATGATGCACATATACGAAACCACATGCACACGCGTGAACGTGTACACACAGAAGGCCCAGCATCCACCAGCATTCCTCTGTGTTTGAGAACTCTTTGGCTAACGCAGATCTGAAAGACACACAACACAGAGACTAGCTTTTTCTCCAAAGCTTTTCTTGTGCCAACTGAGGGAACGAGCCAACACAACTTTAGAGAAAAATTAATTAATAAAACAGAACGCCCATGCTGCACGTTATGTTCCAGGTGTGGCTGCAGTATAATAAAACACAAAAGTCCAACATGAACTCTTTTTACCCTTACTGATACCTCAACCACTCAAAAAATTACTTTAGAAAAAACTTCTGATTATAAATGGGATAAAACTATTTTAAAGAAGGTCCACCAGAGAATATGAGCGGTCTGAAGTGAGAGGATTTGCCAATTATTTCTCACAATAGCTGTCAGCGCTCTTCACTGCCCACCTAAGACCACTCCCCTCACTGCACCCTGTTCCAGACAAAACAATGGCGAGCTGGTTGTCATCATTCTTTTGTTTACGTATTCCAGATTAAAAACGTTGTTTCCACGATGGCAGACAAAGTAAAGCTGGACGGAGAGACAGAAAATTCACCAGCACTTGAACCTGCTCCACTCACATGACCTTATGGTTATTTTTCCATTTTCATGTTCATGGTTCCACATGTGTCGACCAAACAGGGCTTCTGTGTGTTGAGTTTTTTTAAACC